GATACGTTTCATTTTGATAATTGAACCACCATTTCGGTGGAAAGTGGAACCAGCGCGGATTGAAAATGCATTTAAATCATCACTGAAATTCACAAGCAGAGTAAATGAAAATGGAAGGTGTCTGAATCATTCAGTTTCAATAATCGAACACCCTTACCCAAAGCAATGCGCTGCACTCAATACCCATTTATTTCCGATGATTGAACCGCCACAGCCGTGTTGAGATTCATATTGAACGGACACTTGCCATGGATTTTCATCAATTGTCGTTTCAAATCCACCGACTATTGCATTGCTTGGATAATCACGATGAGACAGTGGATTAGCTGAAGTTGGAAATGAAATGTTGAATAGAATAATTCGGTTTTGGAATTTTTTCAAATAATTTTCTTTTGCCTGAACCTAATAAAGTAGAATCGATCATTAAAATATTTATCACAAGCAAAACTTTTCTCATTTTTATTTCTTTGATTTTCACAATTAAGATCAATACAAGTCGACATAAACTTGAGATGGATTTCAAACAAATGCAACATACAATTTATACTCTTTAGGTTTGCAATGTGTTATCGATTCAAGTTTTTTGTTTTCTATTGTTCTATTGATTCATGACTATCATTTGTGTCGTTATCAGTCAAGTACACTTGTATCTAATTGGTTGAAAAGGATTAAATCGAGTCTATCGAAGAATAGTGCTCATTATAAACATAAATATTTTATGAAAGACAATTGTCTCAATTGTTTTTGTTGTAACAAGTACAACATATTCTTTAAGAACATTTCACTTTCGGTATTTCTCATAATGCACAAAAAAAATTTCCAACTATTTTTATACTGCTACAAATCGATAATTGATTATCAGAATAATATATAGCAGAGAATAAGCGCTGGGTGCCGGCGCATATCACTGATACGCCCTATCAGTCGAGGGCACTTATCGAATTAATCAGTGAAAATATTTACAAGATAATCATTTTTACAGATATGTATTGTGTTTGCCAGTTTTATGTGGACTTTAAGTCCGAGAATTAAAATTTCGACTGTGTGTGTGTATTCAGACGTCACTTTCATTTTTGGTACCTGAAAAATATATAACTATCAAATATTTGACTGAATCTATAAAACGTTTGATTTATTAGATTTTACACAAACTGGATTTGTATACATATAAATAATTACAGCTTGAAATGGATCTATAGCGACATGCTTACGCTGCATGCTCTCGTAAAACTGTCATATCTTTGAAAATGCAAAAAATTGTTTTCTACATTCAATGTGCAT